ATAAGAGTTGGGAAAAAAATTGATTCTGGATTTTATACGTTCTGCGTTCTGCACTTTTCTTCTTACACACCCGGTCCACAGAGGGTTAAGTCGGTGATGTCAGTGCGCTGCACCTCTGGTCTTAGTGGACGTGATTGGCGTAGTACCAGTCCGGATAGACGAGAGGGGGAGATCTGTGCCGTGCCTACTGAGGGCCTGATAGGGAGATGTGTTTTATATGACATATATAGAAGCTGATCCCTATAGAACAGCAAGGCAGGTACTTTAGCGTGTGTATCTGTGTCGGGGTCCCCACCTCATCTGGGGGTCCCCACCTCATCTTGGGTCCCCACCTCATCTGGGGGTCACCAGTTCAGCTCCCTGCGTGTCATATCACCGTGATGTTCTGCTGCTGTTATGGGGTGTAATCTGTGTACAGCCTCCATGTCGGCACAGGAAGTACATGTCCTGCCAGATCAGATCAATGTCCGTTCTTGCTGCCAACGCGCCGTGTGATGGGATTCCGGCTACACGGAAAGAAAGGAGATTCTTATGTTGTCCCACGTAGGATACAGATCTAGGATTTGCCGGGGGCCCTGTCATCGTAACCATTTAGGGCCCACATACCCAACGTGCCCCAACACACTCGAGTTTATAGGACCATAGTGCACAGATGTGACCCCGCTGTGTGCAGTGCAGAAAGTAATGGTGCAGGTGCAATATTTTCCCTGACCCCGGGTGTGTTAGGTTACCAACCCATGCAACATGAATAGGCTCCCTTAAAATGATGAGCCCCCCTCCCCGCCCCGTCAAGTTTGCTGTGATCTCCAACAATGATGGCACTAAGACAGGAAGTGGGGGCGATTCTCCCTAAAGCTGGCCATACACTGTCATTTTTTCTTCAGGCTTACGAGCACTGAACAAGATGTCTGTGACGGGTTCTCATTCCTCCGGGTCACATGGTGTATCTGTTAAAAAAGATAAGTCAAGGCGACTGGACTCGCTGCATTTTTTCTTGAAGACGTTTCACTGGTCACCCGACCAGCTTTCTCCATTGAGAACGACTTGTACAAACAATTCTCTGGGAATAAATATGGTGAATGTCGCTCCAATCCACATAATATGTTAGTGGCAACCAGGTGTTGATTACATTTGCATAATTGGAGTTTAGGAGGTGTTATTAACCTGCCCAGAGAGAGGTGTTATACAGCATTGTATGTGGGCAGGTTATTAAAAGAGAACTATGGGGTCAGGGCTTTTCCCCATAGTTCTCCTTAGGGTAACGGGAGGACACACGAGCCGATTGGCTGAAGGTGCAGTCAATCATCTGACTGCACTCAGCTGACACACTGCACGCAAAGCTCCGTGCCTGATAGCTTTTGCTTCGCTCTGCACGACCTCCCGATCTACTGAGCCGACCTGTGACAGTCTCATTGTCACACGTCGGCTAGAACTATGAGGTGAGTTCCCCCCCCCTCATAGTTCTCCTTTAATAGCAGTGATCTCTATCAGTTTCATGTTACAGGTCCCCAGTCTATGACAGTGTCCTACACCAAGACTTCAGTCTCTGACCCTTTCCTCTTGGGCGCGTTCAGTCTCTGACAGTCTTCTATAGCATTATATATAAGAAATGATATGTGGCCCTTTGGAGACATTAGGGGTTGCATTTGTATCCTATAAGCTGAGCCGCTAGTGCGAGTGCTGCCCGTCCTTGGGTAGCCCAGGCAGTGACCGCTTGGAGATATCTGGTAATGTTGGTGCTGGAGGCGCTGGGGCTGTAGATTAGGCGCTCAGTAACCTTACAACGCTCCATGCCACAATATACACCAACAGAAACTTTAATGACTTTGCCTAGGCTGAGACGATGTCATCAGTCTGCTGCAGGCAGGAGGAAGTATTTCCACAGTCTCCCCTCCACCAGTGATCAGTCTGCTGCAGGCAGGAGGAAGTATTTCCACAGTCTCCCCTCCACCAGTGATTAGTCTGCTGCAGGCAGGGGGAAGCATTTCCTCAGTCTCCCCTCCCCCAGTGATCAGTCTGCTGCAGGCAGGAGGAAGTATTTCCACAGTCTCCCCTCCACCAGTCATTAGTCTGCTGCAGGCAGGGGGAAGCATTTCCACATTCTCCCCTCCTCCAGTGATCAGTCTGCTGCAGGCAGTAGGAAGCATTTCCACAGTCTCCCCTCCAGTGATCAGTCTGCTGCGGGCAGGAGGAAGCATATCCTCAGTCTCCCCTCCACCAGTGATCAGTCTGCTGCAGCGAGGAGGAAGCATTTCCACAGTCTCCCCTCCCCCAGTGATCAGTCTGCTGCAGGCAGGAGGAAGCGTTTCCACAGTCTCCCCTCCTCCAGTGATCCGTCTGCTGCAGGCAGGAGGAAGCGTTTCCACAGTCTCCCCTCCTCCAGTGATCCGTCTGCTGCAGGCAGGAGGAAGCGTTTCCACAGTCTCCCCTCCTCCAGTGATCCGTCTGCTGCAGGCAGGAGGAAGCGTTTCCACAGTCTCCCCTCCTCCAGTGATCCGTCTGCTGCAGGCAGGAGGAAGCGTTTCCACAGTCTCCCCTCCCCCAGTGATCAGTCTGCTGCAGGCCTCACAGATAGTCATAAAGATCATTGCTGAGTGGTCAGTCATTACATATCTGAAGGGCAGAAGTTACTAAAGTCTAGAGGAAGCCGGGCTGATGACGGCTGATCTAGGGATTGCCATGGATCTGTGACATGACAAAGAAGCGATAATGAGCTCACTGAATCTTCTATGTACAATCCATAGCTGCCTGGGTGAGAAGGAACTACAAGTTCCAGCATGCTCTCCTTAAAGAGTTTTTTTTAATTCATCTCCATTATTTCAGGGTGCAGTTGTCCTTTACGACACTTCCGAGTGTTCTTCTCATGATAAAAATAGATTGCCGGTTCTCTGTCTTCCTCGGGTTGCCACCTTTTCTTCAAGTGAAACCCGAACACTCTAGCGTCGAGCTGACATTTTTTAAGGGGGGAGAATGGGTTGCGGCTTATTCATATGTAAATAGCACAGTTGAGACTATTTTCAGTGAGGGGGCCAGTAGCCCCTATCTTCATTTTGGTTGCCCCTGTCTGCCTGACATCTTGTGTCCGGGTTTCTGCTGACAGGAAACCCGGACACAGCATTCAAAACCCGAATTGTCCGGGTGAATCCTGGACAGGTGGCAACCCTATGTCTT